CATCAGAACACCATTGCCATTTATGGCCATGAAGGTCCACATAATTTCTTTACTCCCGTCCTGTTAATACATTTTCTTCAACAAAGGGCATGGAAGCTTCCAATGTTCCAATGTTTCTAATCCAGCATTAGAAAGCCATCCAGCAGAATGGTAAACACTGATAAGCAACAAAGAAAATGGCACTAGAATTCATTTGGAGATGTAGGTCAGGTATGGAGGTGGGCAGAGAAGGACAAATGTGAAATGAAGTCTTAACACACCTGGATTGTAATTTGCATGCTCTCTCTCTCTCTCTCAGTAACAGACCTTTGATTCCTAGATAAAAGCACTTGCAAATTTTCTTTCTTGATCCATTGTACAGTGGTGCCTCGCATTACGAGCACTCCGTTTGATGACAAAATCGCATCACGACGAAGATTTTGCGATTGCAAAAGCGATTGCAAAACGATGTTCCCTATGGGGGAATTTCGCTTTGTGATGATCGGTCCCCTGTTTCGCTAACCAATTATCGCAAAGCGATAATTTTCGGCCAGCTGATCGGCGGTTTTAAAATGGTTGCCGGGTGAAAAACACGGCCGCCCGCTGTTTTCTGGCACGGATTCCTCGCTGCACGAGCAGCGAAAATGGCTGCGCTATGGAGAATCTTCGCTGAACGGTGAGTTTTAAGCCCCTAGGAACACATTAATTGGGTTTTAATGCGTTTCTATGGACTTTTTCAAATCGCATGGCGACGTTTTCATTCGACAGTGATTTTTTCGGAACGAATTAACGTCATCGTGCGAGGCACCACTGTATTAGAAGAATGATAAAGAATGAATATGAGCACTAATCAATACAGCTATTCTTTATACATTCTTATATCTCCTTAGAATACCTCTACAAAATATAAGGAATCCGTGCCAGAAAACAGCGGCCGGCCGTGTTTTTCACCCGGCAGCCATTTTGAAACCGCCGATCAGCTGGCCGAAAATCATCACTTTGCGATAATTGGTTAGCGAAACGGGACCGATCATCACAAAGCGAAATTCCCTCATAGGGAACATTGTTTTGCAATCGCTTTTGCGATCGCAAAATCTTCGTCGTGATGCGATTTCGTCATCAAACGGAGCGCTCGTAATGAGAGGCACCACTGTACAATGGATCAAGAGAGAAAATTTGCAAGTGGCTTTTATCCAGGAATCAAAGGTCTGTTACTGAGAGAGAGAGAGAGAGCATGCAAATTACAATCCAGGTGTGTTAAGACTTCATTTCACATTTGTCCTTCTCTGCCCACCTCCATACCTGACCTACATCTCCAAATGAATTCTAGTGCCATTTTCTTTGTTGCTTATCAGTGTTTACCATTCTGCTGGATGGCTTTCTAATGCTGGATTAGAAACATTGGAAGCTTCCATGCCCTTTGTTGAAGAAAATGTATTAACAGGACGGGAGTAAAGAAATTATGTGGACCTTCATGGCCATAAATGGCAATGGTGTTCTGATGCACTTATTGCTATGGCAAGCGCTGGAACCACTGAATGGCTCCATCTGCTGTAGAAGTAGTGAGCACCATTCATATCACTATTTATAATATCAGGCTCCTCCCCAACTTTGTTCTGGATCTGGAAGCACTCCAAATTGCACTTGATCTCAGAAAGAAGACCTCACTGCTACTGTGGATGAGTGACAAGACCAGCCAAATTGTTGACCGTTCAGTAATTAAATTATTCAGATTTATTCAGGCTTCTGGGCGGGATAGTTCAGAGAGCTAGTTACCTGGCTACAGAACCAAAGGTCAGGAGGTCATTTCCTCACTATGCCTTGCTGAAGAGCCATCCTGTGTAGACTTGGGGATGCTGCATGGTCCCAGAGCGCCCCCAGAAGAAGTGTGTGGTAAACCACTTTTGACTGATACCTAGGAAACACTGGAAATGGCACCATGAGTCAAAATTGACTTGGGAACATGTAACTATTTTCTCTCATTAGCTGAGCAATATGTAAGTTACACAAATATATAAGTTTGCTTTAATGGAAAGAAAATCTTTTTACGTTGCAAGAATCTTGATTTCTCTTTTCATTTCTTGCTTTTTAAAATATTGACCTGTTTTCTTTTTCCAAACAAAGATACAATTTTAAAAATCATTTTAGAAAACTGATTTGAACAGTTTGTAGTAATTGATGCACTTTGGAAGGAAAAAGCAGCTAGATATTTTTGAAAAACAAGAAATATATTTTAGACATACGTCCTTGATATTTTACTACATTATTACCTATATGAGCCAAAAACCTCAATTGGATTTTGGCCATTATAGAGAAAAATACATACACACATTGTGTATATGCATATATAAACTGACTGAAATCCAGTTGTAAGTTGCAACTAGAGTAGGCCCATTGAATCAATGGGGATTTGATGGGTCAGGTTTTAAGTTCAGTTGATTCAATAGGCCTAATCTAGTTGCAGTTTACAACTGGATTTCAGCCAGCTTGCTCTCAGGTAAGTGCTCTTCCTTCTCATTTTTTCATAATCTACACATTATAACAAAATTATTCTAGGAAGTACATTTGTGGTAATAACTCCTTTCAGTTTTCTTCCCAAATAGATACCAGAAGCTTTGGGTTATGTTCGTCAAGCTCTACAGCTTCAAGGCGATGATGCCAACTCCTTGCATCTCCTTGCCCTGTTGCTGTCAGCACAGAAACACTACCATGATGCTCTGAATATCATTGATATGGCCTTGAGTGAATACCCAGAAAACTTTATGTGAGTAATTCTTGTCATTTCCTTGCATCTGGCTGCTCAGTGTTATTGAACTTTTTGTCACTGAATTCCTTCCTTCCTTCCTTCCTTCCTTCCTTTTCTTTCTCTTTTTTGCTTCCTTGTTTCTTCCCCCACTTTGCCTTCCTAATTCATATCAAATCAAGTATGCGCCTTATGTGCAACCACATAGCATGCAGAGCACTCAGTGGGCAGCATACAGTTTAGTTATGCAGACTATATACTCAATTTACTGACAGTGGAAGCCTGAGTGGACCTTGACCTGGCTACCTGAGCTTGTTAGAATCAAACTCAGGTTGTGAGCGGAGTCTTGATTGCAGTGTTGCAGTTTAACCACTGCATCACAAGGCTTCTATATACTGTCTCTTTTCTAGACATTAATTTATATAGGGCTGATACCAGGGTCCAAGAACTCTTTTAAGTGCCCTCTACTTGAGACTAGGCTAGTCATTACAAGAGAGACTATGCCTTTTCTGTGTAATGCCTTTTCCAGAGGGATCTTGTCATCATTGTGTTGAGACTTACTTAGTTTACCATGTATTTTTAAGAACTGGGTTCAATGCTTTTTTCCCTGTTGGATTTACCATGGGTTTATAAGTTTTCACTGTTTTTACCTTCTGCTACTAGTTGTATTTTTTATATGTTGCTTTTAGCATTATTGTTTGCATTTTATGTTTTCAGCATGTTATCAATTTACTAATGGGCTGCCCAGATAATTATATTTATGGTTATTGGGTTGCTTCAAAATAAAATAAATTAATAAATAAAATGCCAGTTAAAATAATAATGAAGTAATGGTAACCTTGTTCTACTAATTTTATTTTTAAAGGGAATTTCATAATCTCTGCTTGCTGAACTGTTGTGTTTGTAGCATAATTTATCTTGCCATTTTGTTCCTTGTGTCAGGGTCAATAATAGAGAATAAAGAGCTGTATTAACGGAAGTGGAAATAACATGTGAGGTGAAGATAACATGCATTGAGGAAAACTGTTTTACATGTTGGTCACAAAATGACACTGGTTCCAAATGTTTTAGAAAAAGAATTGGTGTTGCATAATGGCAGCTTGCATTAGTTGTATATAGGAAGTCCATAATTCAAATTTCAGCTTCACAGTGAATATCCATTGATTAATGCAGATGACTTTCACACCATCTTTCCCAGTCTGGAGGGTGCCAATGAACACCAGTCTTCCTTAAAGAATGCTCTACTCATTACAAGATAATATATGTGACACACTTTGATTGCTGATGAAAAAGCAAAACTAGTTGATAGTGTCATTATTAAAATAAGTTAAACACTGAGTTGATTGATAACTTTTCCTTTGGTCTACTTGCAAATAAACGATATTTTGACTTGGGAATTCTGAACTAGATACAGTACAGTGGAGCCTCGCTTAGCGATGTTAATTCGTGCAGAAAAAAATCGCTGCTAAGCGATAACATCACTAAGCGAAAATAAAAAGCCCATAGAAATGCATTAAAACTCGATTAATGTGTTCCTATAGGCTTAAAACTCACCTTTAAGTGAAGATCCTCCATGGCGCCGCCATTTTCGGTGCCTCTAAATCAAGGAATCCATGCCTGAAGTGGGCGGCCATTTTGTTTACCCGGCGGCCATTTTGAAACCGCCAATCAGCTGGCCAAAATGGGGGCTTTGCGATGATCGCTTCCCTGCGATCATCACAAAGCAAAATTTCCCCATAGGGACCATTGCAAAGCGATCGCTTTTGCGACTACAAAAACAGCGTCACTAAGCGATTTCATCACTATACAGAGCAATTGCTATGCGAGGCACACTGTATTTGCTTGCAAACAGTGTTAACACTATGCTGGCTGATTGCAACCAAATAGTTACGAAAGAATAGGGAGGGATGCAGTTTTTAGGGAAAAGTCTGGGCAGAAATTCCTTAACATTTTACCCCTCATTATTTCCCCCCTGCAATTCTCTCCCCAGCTACACCTCTCCTGGATGGATTTCCCTGACCTCTAGTTGCCATTTTAAAAAGGAAGGGGCAGACTATTAGTGGAGCCACAATTTCCATTGCCCCTCATAGTTGTGGTAAAGAATGACAAGAGGTGTAGTCTGAAAAAATTGGAAGGTCACAGTTGGCCCACCTCTGACAGAGGAAAATATAGGGAAGTACCAAGGAAAAAGTACTCAACTGCTCTTCTGATAGGGAAAATGTGTTCTTCTTTTGCTACCTTGAAGTTGCTTAGGAACTAGGGTTGCAGATATGTACCGTATTTTTTGCTCCATAAGACGCACTTCCCCCCCAAATGTGGGGGAGGAGTCCGTGCATCTTATGGAGCGAAGGCAGCAATTTCGTCCCTGCTGGCCCCGTGGGGGGGAGCGCCGCAAGGGTCTGAGGCAGCCTTCCAGGACCCTTGCCACGCTCCTCCCACCCCCACACGGGGTCAGCACCGGCAAAATCGCCAGTTTCTGGGAGTCTCTTGAGGCTTGGGAAGCCTCTGAAGAGTCCCAGAAGGTGGCGATTTTGCCCCCTCTGATGCCCGGGGGGGGCAGGGTGAGTCTCTAAAGGGCCCTAGGGTGTGTTCCAGGACCCTTTAGAGACTCACCCTGCTCCCCTGGGGGTCAGAGGGAGTGAAATTGCCACTTTCTGGGACTCTTTTGAGGCTTGGGAAGCTTCAGAAGAGTCCCATCCCCCACAGGGCCAGCGCCGGCGAAATCGGCAGCTTCCAGGTGGGGGGAGCGTTGCAAGGGTCCGAGGGAGCCTCCCAGGACCCTTGCCCCCCTTCTCCCACCACCGCACGGGGCCAGCGCCGGCAAAATTGCCAGGTTCTGGGAGTCTCTTAAGGCTTGGGAAGCCTCTGAAGAGTCCCAGAAGGTGGCGATTTCGCCCCTCTGACCCCATGAGGGCAGGGTGAGCCTCCAAAGGGTCCTAGGGTGTGTTCCATAAGATGGACCTCTCCATAAAGCTCACCAATTTTTAGGAGAAGAAAACAAATTATTTTTTTCCTGTTTTCTTCTCCTAAAAATTTGGTGTGTCTTGTGGAGAGGTGTGTCTTATGGAGCGAAAAATAGTGTATTTATTATCAAAGACCTAGTTTATCCCCAAGGCCACAGTCTTTTCAGCGTGAACTCCTAAGCCAAGTTCCTTGTTATATTCTGACAATATGCTACATTTTAAACGTTCCTGTCTTCATTGTGTTTCGGATACATTAAAAGAAAACTTGCTCAAGAGTAAGTATTGGCCAGTTAATTACAGTGGATCCTCGACTTACAGAACTAATTCGTATTGGAACAGTGGCCGCAGGTCGAAAAGTCCGTGGGTTGAGGATCCATTTCCCATAGGAATGCATTGAAAACCATTTAATCCGTTGGAGGCAAAGAAAAAAAATCTTGGGCTTCCAAAGCTGAACCCGCTCTCCTCTGTCTCCCCTCCCTTGTGCCCTCTGCCTTCTGTCCCTGTGTGGACAGAAGGCAGAGGGCAGCGGGTGTAGCTTTGGAAGCTGGGGAAACCAAAATCCACTCCGCACTCGCTGCCGGCTTTCTGAGCTGCTCCACCCCCACTGCCGGCTTTCGGCTTTCCAGGCTTCAAAACCCCCTCCGCTGCCCTCTCTCTCCCATCCCTGGTGCCCTCTGCCT